TTAAAAAAAATGGCAACGATGTCATCCATTGACACATCTTACACCTATTATGTTGGAGGTGTGTGTGTGTGGAGGATCAATCCAGAAATAAGAACTTAATTCAAATTTGAAAGGAAACAAGGAATTTGGTCCCCAGATGTGGATGCTTAGGACTGTTTCTTGAGAAGGAGTAAATGTGGCAGAACCAGCTTTGGATCTGAAGAGGCCCTTGGCATCATGCCATGCCAATGGTGGGTAAGCTACTATTCCAGTTTCCCCTCTCTCATAGATTCTGGCAACTTTACCTGGTTATGGTGACCACAGACAACCTGGATCAGGTGGGGTGGGTACCCTGGACTTGTCAAAGGATGCCAGGTGCCAATGCCACCCGTGGGTGCACATGCTGTACCTTGATCATGCCCTGTGCCCACTTGCAAGACAATTCCTTTTATCCCATTGGTGCATGATCTCACACAATTGTGTTACCCCCCCCAACCCTCCAAGTATGCCTAGGAGTCTTATTTCTTCCCAAGATGGCACTGTTTCCTTCCACATGGAATCTGACGCCAACCCTTCTGAAACTTGTAGGGAAAAAAAGGCAGAAAACCCAACAACATTGTCAAGGGCCACCAGAAAGCCTACCAAGTGCACACAAATGCAGGTGTGTAGGAGGCTTGCATTTGCCATTTGTTGTGAGCCGCGGCGCTCCCTACCTCTCACGTATAGGTTAGCAGGTGAAGAGTAGCGCACGCCGGCGCTATTGCTGGCCACACACTCATATTTCCCCTGATCGGTCTCTTCGCTGCTGTCGATCTGAAGGCCACCTAAAATGGAAAGGAGAGAAGGCAAGACAGAAAGAAAGAAAGAAAGGAGATGCCAAGAAATATGTTAATTCGGTGATGGCGGGCACGGAGGGAAGGACGAGCAGAGAATGGCTTCTATTAAGCCTTCTCCAACTTTAGTGTTTTGGACTACAACTCCTACCATTCTTGATCACTGAGGCTGATGTGAGTTGTAGTCCAAAAGCATCAGGCAACCCCCAAGTTGGAGAAAGCTATGTATAAAATTACTCCTCACTTTCCTTGCCTTGAATACGTTAACATTTCTTCTATCAATATCCAGTTCTCCTGGAGTCCTTCATTGCAACAGAGCACAATCTTACAGCATGTTGACTCACACATGAGCCTTACAGCATACAGGGAGATTTATTCCTTTATTAAGGATGGGAGAAGAGAGCCTGTACGGTATATTATTATTTTATATTCCGGCTTTCTTACAGTATAGAGACTCAAGGCCATGTTGGAATAGGACTCCATGAAGATCACAAACTGAACCTTGTATCCATGGGACTGGTACTCGTGATTTTACTCACTCATATCCAAAAAACCTCCTACGTTCTCTCTAGGTATTTTTAGGTCCTCCATTGGATTCTATGGTAAGCATCTGGTGGAAATTGACCATAGAGTTGCACTGGAGGATTTAGAAATGCCTAGAGAGGCGTTCTCTCTAGGAATCTCTAGGTCCTCCAGTGCAACTCTATGGTCAACCTCTGCTGTAAGTCATTCATTTCCATAGGGCTCACTATTATCCATGGTTTCATGTTTCCACAGTAAGTCTGGGAACTATTCCCTGTAGATATGGGGGTTATACTATATACACAATTTAACATTAGGTGCAGTAGCCTTGGGGAGCAGGGCACCAGATCCTGTTTTATCTTGAAAGCTAAGCAAGGTCAGTCCTGGTTAGTACTTGGATGGAGACCGCCAATGAATCCCAGGTGCTGTAGGGGACGTTTCAGAGAAGGAACTGGCAAAACCACCTCTGAGTCTTCCTTGCCTAAGAAAACGCCATTAAATTCATAGTCGCCAGATGTTGACAGGCAACTTGAAGGCACACAGACACAAACACGGGGGTAGTATACAAGAGAAATCCAAGCTAAAGTAGTGGCTGGTTCTCTAAGTTCTCAGAGAGCTGCCATTCTGTTGATGGCAGAGCTCTAGGAGACCAGGCAAGTGAGATGAAAATGTTATCGTCGGTGTTAATGGAGTCTCTTTGATACTTCAAGGAGCCAGCTGAATTTTCTGTGCAAAGCAGGCCAGGAATCCATAATAGAAGCGCATGCACTTGACCTATTTCTCCCTCTCTGGCGGCCACCTTCACAAGAGATGCGTCCCTCAATTGGCGCATCGCTCTAGTAGAGATGTACTAACCTCTAATAATCATTAGGTTTGTGCTCTTTCCTTTTCCCTCTAGTTTTTAAAAAAACCCAGCATGAGCAAAGCTATATACCGCAATGACATTCCTGACTACCTTGGCAACCCATGGATGCAAAGCAGGGGCTTTACCATTTAGCTGATGAATGAATGAATGAATTGCTTTCAAAAGGGTTTGCCCTTTCTCCTTGCAAAGAGAAATAAAACTGGGCAGGGCAGTCACTGTACTCATTTCCTCTGGGAAGAGCAACCAAATGTCTACACCTTCTCTCCTCCCAATAATTTACAGAATGCTGAAGCAGTATTTTTATTTTGGCTGCCTCTTAATAATAGCAAAATGGAACCTCCATGTACAAGGGCAAACTATCTCAAATTATTCAGTGCAAGAGGTAAAGGACATGCAAGGCTACTGTTGCCTCCCATTTTTGCTTGTGGACATGCTATTGAGAAATCTAGGTAGCTGTTGTTGAGAAAAGCATTCTGGATTAGACAATCCGGTGGTCTGATCCAGCAAGGCTTCTCCAATGTCCTTTTCCCCTACTTATTCCCCGCATTAGAAAATAACAAGCGTAATTTCATTACATTTTCCCACTTTGTGCCTTCCAGGCCACGGTGATGGATCAAATTAAGCATCACCGCTGAAGGATTTCATTTTCTTTTAACAAAGAGAAAAATAAAATAAAATAAAATAAAATAAAATAAAATATAACCGCAGAGAAATGCATTCCAGTTCTTAGCATCCTAAAAAGAGCTTAGTTTTTAAACCGGTATCATAAATTGCAAACATGTACTGGGAAACTCTTCCTCCCTGACTTAGGTCCGAAAGAGAGAAAGGTCCAATGAGGAGAACAAGGAAGAATAAAGAATTATATACATATTGAAAATAAAAGACAAATTGGAACTAAAGCGGAAGGTGGGATGGGGAGACACAGGTAACAGAGGGGTGGGCTGGGGCAGAAACTCACAACAGTGAAAACACTGACAAAAAACCCTCTAGATTCAAAACTACACAACTACACAGAATGAGAACTGGTTATAAGCGAGAGGTGAAACACAGCATTTAAGAACGGGGGAAAAAAATGTATGCGCTCTTATGCGTGTCGGTGTGCGCGCAGGGTTTTCTTACCTCGGATTGGAGTACCTTCTGTAAGGAAAAACAAAAAGGGAAACAAACAAACAAACAAAAAAATAGAAGTGAAAAAAACGAGTGGAAAAACAAAAACAAAAACCCTCCCAGGAGTTTTATGGATTTGCCCAACGGGAGAAAGGAACCCCAACGCTCAAAGGAAGATTCTGGCTGGAGATCTCGCTCTAAACCCTACTTTGGCCATGCAAAGAAAGCAGAAACATGGCACCGTTTCAGATCAGTGGATGTTCCGCGTTCCCTTCGGCTACTACTAAATTCTTTTACAAAGAATACACTGTTTGTTCTTGTAAATGCAGCAGAAACGGCTATGGGTAGAACACCTCCTTTGCCTGCAGAAGGTTTGCTCCACACCAATGTTTCCCAACCTTTGGTTCTCCAGATGTTTTGGACTTCAGATCCCATTATTCCTGTCTGTTGGCCAAGTTGGCTGGGGGTTCTGGGATCTGAAGTCCAAAACATCTGAAAGACTGTATTACCTTACAGGAACTTGCTAGAGTCTTAAGATCTATGGGGGAAAGCTTTCTCTTGGTTCCATCAGCATCACAAAGTTGTTTGGTAAGGACACAGGAGAGGGCCTTTTCGGTGGCTGCTCCCACTTTCTGGAGTTCCTTCTCTCCCTGAAGTACTTTGGCTGGTAAGAAAAAACCTAGGGTTCGGGTGATTTGTGGGTGCTTTTTTAATGATTCCATATTGATTGTTTCAACCTGATGGTTTTAACTGTGTTTAAAATGTTACTGTTTTCAGCCGGATCTTTTTGTGAGCCGCCTTCGGTCCCACACTGGGAGACAGGCGGCATATAAATGAAACAAATAAATAGGTTCCAGATTCAACGATCCCTTTGGCCATTTGTTCTTGGGGGCATTTGGGGGGCAAAATGCCATTTTGTCATGTTAGCCTGGAAAATCAGTCTGCAAAGGGATCTTGTAGCACCTATGAGATTGGTGGCATGAGCTTTTGTAGAACAATGCATCAGAGGAAGTAGGCTCAAGTCTACGAAAACTCATGCTACAAGTATTTTTATTTTAGTGTGTGGGCAAATACTTCTCCAAGGCTCCTAAGGGCTGATAGAGTCCACTAGCCTCAGTCAGTTGCTCCTCTGGGTCTACACCATCTCCATCAAGCTGGTAAACCTGCAAAGGAGTCCACCCTATTGCTGTAGGACAGCAACTTGGGGTTATAACTTTACATCACATTATGGGTGTGATGTAACTTATGGGTTTGATGTAACTTATGGGTGTGATGTCACACATTATGGGTGCAATATTCACCTTACGGTCACTTATGGTGACCCTAAGGTGAATCTATCACAGGGTTTTCTTGGCAAGTTTCTTCAGAGGGGGATCACCATGGCCATCCTCTGAGAGTTACTTGTGGGGTTTCATGGCTGAGCTGGGATCTGAACCCAGGTCCCCAGAGTAGTAGTCCAATGCTCAAACCACTACACAACGCTGACTCTCATCCAGTGACGATAGGGAAGACTTTCTCTCTCAATCTGCCTATGTATATATGGCAAAGGTTTTTCTCTCAGAGTGACAGGTGGGCACTCTGAGACACTTGGACTTTGTAGGATATCACAGGTAGAGATCATTCTCAGCCTTGTACCTAAGAAATTCACAGCTGTCAGCATCCCGCATTGAAGCCATCTTCCTTATAAAATTGCAAAACAAGAGCTCCTTTCTCCCACTGGCTTTCCAAGCGTTTTCTCAAACCATTAATGTATATTATTTAGCTCTCTAGGGTTTTACCCTAATCCTGAAAACAAAGCAAAGGGCTCGCATGGCCCGTTCTTTAAAATCAACAAATTGCTCTTTGTCGCATGAGTTTTTCCTAACTTTTGAAGACAGCAGCTCATTTTGACAGCTGGCGGGCCTCCGAAATAAGGTACGAGACTTGGATTGTGCTGTCTCTCTCTTTACAGGATGTTCAAATATAAAATAACTTGATATCCTGACTTGCCAAACAAAGATCATCAAACAATAGCAGCAGTAGTAGTGACATAGGATGTCTTTTCTACTTAACTTTGCAGTTTCACTTAATTTTTTCCACCCGTTGGCCCTTTCCTCGAACCATTAAATACACTGTTTTCAGGATAAAAGGTAAAATAAACCTAGTTATTCTTTGTTATTAGTCATCGGCAGTTGGGTGGGGAGAGGGCAAACGTTATACGGTTAAAGCTGGTTAGAGGATCTAGTTAGATTCAGGCTCCAGTTAAAGAAAAGGTTAAGAAAGGTAATCTAAAAGACAGAGGGTTAGCTTCTAATTAAGGTTAATGGCTAGTTAATGTTAATAAAAGCAGGGCTAGTTAGCTCAGAGGAGACAGTACTGGAGTAGGCGAGGAAAGAAAGGGAGCGCTAAAGTTGGTCTAACCTCTACTGAGAAGCAGCTCCGTAATTTTTAAAAGATAGCCAGAAAGAGAAGGAAAGAGCGAGGAAGAAGAGGGAAAGTAGCAGAGGGTTGTGGGTTTATTCAGTGGAAATAGAACAGCCTCGAACACATCACCCTTTTGTCTCCAAAATGCAGAGTGGAACCGTAGAAATAAAAATAGTTTTTTTTTTAAATAAAAAAAATCTGCCATCTGTGACACATCCCTGGAGCATTTTGGGAAAAAAAAAAGAGACAAACAGGGACAGAGTCCATTGGGGAACGGCTTGGTGGAAAGGCAACTTAGTACATCTTGTCTTTCCAACTCTCTATCTCTCCCAGTCCTTTTTCCAATTTTAATTTTTTCTCCCATTACCCAGAACTTGAAATGGATGGGTGGGAGTAAAATGGCATTAAAAACCAGGGGTTTAACATAGCCAAGCGGTAAAACAAAAGAGCAGAGTCAGATGCAAGCCAAGGCTCAAGCTTGCCTTTTTTTCAGCTTGTCAAATTCCTTCAGCATCGAGAGCCATTTCATGCAACTCCCTGGAAAGGTCAAGGTTGAGAACCTGGGACTGTGGTTAAGAGGAGATGTCTGTCTAAATTTGGGTCCAGGTATCATGTTTGTGCTCTCTCGTCCTTGCAACAAGAGCAAGAGTTTCCCCAAAGGCTTAGAATCAAACTATGACATCCCTTCAGAACAGGGGTTGAGCAACCTACGGCTGCTACATCTCTTTTTCCAAACCTGCAAAAAAGAAACCTGTTTGCTAAAAATTGTTGGCAAAAGGAGAATTTATGCTCCAAAAAACCTCTTGTAGCAGTGATTCTCTTTTAAAACAATGTCCTTCCCTGCCTTACTTTGATCATCTCACCCCAAAGAGAAGCCCTTTGGAGGCTTTGAAACAGAATCTGGATGGCCATCTGTCAGAAGTGCTTTGATTGTGTATTCCTGAATGACAGAATGGGATGCACTAGATAGCCTTTGGGGGGTCTATGACCAAAAGAGGCCTTTGGAAAACCCGCACATGGAATTCTGTCCCCTTCCAGATTTGTATTTTGGAAAAGGGTCCTAAAGGTAGAAAACTAGACCACCAAAAATATATTAAAAAGATGGAGTGAGTAGAAACACCAGGGCCGGAAGGCTGCATCCACACTATACGTTTACAGCACTCTGATACTACCACAACTGCCGCAGCTCTGCTCTATGGGATCCTAGGATTTGTAGTATTGGGAGGCACTTGGAATTTGCTGTCAGTGAGCTCTAATGCTGTAACTCAAGGAAGTGCAGGGAGTAAGTCCCAGTTTTGTGGGGGGGGAATCAAACTACAAATTCCAGTTTGTGGCAGGATGGAGCCAGGGCAGTTAAAGTGGTATCGAACTGCTGGAGTCGTGCAGTGTGGATACACCCTAGGACACAGATGGTAGATTTTTCTCCTTCCTTGTTGAAGTTTCACATCTAAGGAGCTCAAGAGTTTGGATTTCTTCGCACAGTGAGGCGAGCAGCAAAAAGGGGGATTCAGACAGAGGATGGAGGCAATGCACTCTGCACATTCTCAGGGGCACATGTGGCGTCTTTGCCCACTTTATGGGAATTATGGCTTCCCATGCCTCCCTGGAATCGACGCACCACCTTTGGCCCCGAGTGTTCAAACTAGACTTCCATTACGCGCAAAAAGAGAGAAAACGCGAGCCAAGGAGATGCGGAGAGGCCTGGTCTCCATAGTAACTACGGCAAGATGGTCCCTGCTAGCATCTGCCAAAGGAATTCTCTTGGGCAGTTGTATGTGTGTTTTTGTGTGCGTTTGTCGTTGTCCCCTTTGAAACAAGCAACTGGGATGCCTCCCAGGGGTGTACCTGGCAAATTCGCTGGATCTTGCCAGAGGGACGTGCCTTCAGAACAAGGAACACATTGCAAGAAAAGTCAGAACATGACATTTTGCTAGTGCCAGGTAACATTTAACAGTACATTCCTTAGAATATACCACTCTTACGAGGCCAGGCCTTCCAGATGCTAGCGAGTTGCAACTCCCATCATCCTTGGCTATTGCAACT